AGGTCAAAATGCAAGGAGTATTTTAGGAGAGGGTTCCCTTATGGGTGGAAAAACTCACCCATATAGCCCAGTGAAGATTGAGCTGCTCAAGCATGCACAGGAAATTGGAATGAACAGAAAGCTTATCCGAGTATCTTGGTAGAGATAGGCTAGAACCCCAAATTGGAATACTTTTCTGTACCATAACATTGTGTTGCAGGTCCTTCTCCTCCCCTTCATTTGTGACACTTTGGGGTGGGTAATCTTAATTTCTAGTAATTGATACCTGTTGCAAGAATAGTCCTGTAAACTAATCAGGTCACAAAGTTTATGAACATTTTTATTTATTTATTTATTTATTTGTTTGTTTGTTTGTTTGTTTGTTTGTTTGTTTGTTTGTTTGTCATTGTAAGTATATACACAGTATACCCATACAATGAAATTCATAGACACCCAGAGACCAGACACATGCACACACATAAAATTCCCCAAACACTCCCCATCCACTAAAAAATCCCCCAACACCCCCCACCCACTAAAAGTCCCCCACTAAAAATACAAACATCTACACCGCAGGCCAAGTAACACAGTCCAACTAACTATTCACTACTGGTGGTCTTTAAGCTCATTATTAAGTGCCATTATAGCTCTGGGATAAAAACTATTCAGAAAACGTGTGGTCCGAGTCTTAGTATGAGAGGAAGTTGCCTTTTGGACATGTTCCAAGTTGCTATGATTTTTCTTGATAAAGCAGGGTGAGAATTCAAGTTACCCGTATTTTTCGCTCCATAAGACGCACCTTTCCATAAGATGCACCAATTTTTTAGGAGAAGAAAACAGGAAAATATAATCTGTTTTCTTCGCTCCATAAGACGCACAGACTTTCCACCCCCCTGTTTTGTGGGGAAAAAGTGAGTCTTATGGTGCGAAAAATATGGTAATTAAAAAGGGAAAAAACATAGCAGCAATATATATGGATGGAATTGTTGTTTTCACAGTGCTAAACCCTTGCTTCTAAATCATGTGTTGTTCTCTGTGTGTCTTGACTCATAATCTGATGCAGAGTAAGAAAGTGTCAGTACTACTCAAAAGCAAGTTTGCATGTTGGGAGACAGACATACTCAAGTAACAGGCATATTGTGTGAGCCAGTTCTTTCTTCCTTTCTCAAATGCAAGTGAACGCACTTGGATTTCCTCTTGGATTTTTCATCCTAGCCAGATGGCAGTGGGGGTATTTTATACTGCATATCAGAGTTGTTGTTGTTGTTGTTGTTTTGTTTTGTTTTGTTTTTACACTTGACAAAAATGTGTTGCTTTATTTCATTGGCCAGGATCCTATTGGGATTTTATTTATTTTAATTAATTTTAATATATTTATATAATTTGTATACCACCCATCTTACCAACTTTGCAAGTTTTTACTTGGGAGTCAGTGAAATCACACTGTTGACAAATTGCAGCTAAACAACCAAGGCTGGTTGAGTGTCTGACTTCACAGGCCCACAAGTTAATTATTGGCTGCAGTATGCCATTTATGACTTAGTCATTTTAATGTTGTCCAGAGTAAAATCCTAGTTTTTTGTTGATGTTTTTGGTTTCTTCCTTCCCTCCCAAAATCTATCACCCTTTGCACCCTATCTGTGAAATGAACTAGTATTGCCTGTGAGCTGCTTTCTTGGGCAAGTGGGGAGAGGACATAAATGTTTCTCTGAAAAGTAGGATTGCACTATAATTATGATTATACATTAACTAGGATCCTGTTGCATCTGGCAGTAAAGTATGCTTGCAGAAATTTGCTCAGGCATTCCACACTCCATGCCTGATTGCACAATTGACTGTGCAGTTCATTTGTGCAACCCATCTGTGGAAGTGCTTGTTGGATGTTACTTCCATCTTGGCACAAATTTCGCTATTGCTTGTGCTGCGCTGAGTGATGCAGGTGTAGCTACGCAACAGGATTTCAACCAGTGTAATAAATATGGAGACAATATTGGTTTGCTCAACAAGGAGGACAAAGTTTGTCCCTCCAGATGTTCTTGGGCTAAAACTCCCATTCATATTGGTAGGCAAAAACAAAATTTAAAAAGACAAAAATGTTGTGCTGTTTTAAAGACTGTTATGTTTTAATGTGAGCCTTTGTGGGTCAAATCCACTTCCGCAGACATGAAAGTGAGATTACTTGCCGAATTTGTATGCATTTTTAAATGGATTACTTTACCCACTGACCACTGTTGCTTTTTACAATACAAAGCTTCAATGGAAAAGATCTGGATATCGAAAGGAAGTCATTACCAGGTGTAAAAGACTACAGTACATTGACTCACACAATTAGCAGCTTATGCCTATCATCCCAACCAACCCAACCAACCCAACCAACCAACCAACCCACCAACCAACCAACCAACTACTGTTTCTTTATTTTGGTGTCATGTATAAATGTATAAAAAATCTGCCATGGAATCTCACTCTTATCTCTGAGGAAATGGATTTGATCCATGAAAGGTCACATTAAAATATAACGGTCTTTAAGGGGGCATAACGTTCCCACTTTTTGTCTTTTTTATTTTAGTTTTTGCTTGATATGCTTGTATGTACAGGCTAATACGGCAACCTCATTTAAAATTACAATTATTGTTACTGTTAGTGTCTTGGCTCAGTCCTGTAAAAGCTCTGGCTGTGATCCGCTTGTTAGCTGTAAAACACAGTGGTAAAAATGAGAGCATAATTTGAGGGATGATTTGGTTGCAAGATCAGAAATTTCCTCTTTGCAACTTTTATGGTGTTTGGCCATTTTTAATGCCTATTTAACCTTTCTGAAAAATCAGTTTGTAGTCACCACTGGGGCTAAAATGGTCATTTAATGTGTCTTAAGGACATGTTCCTTAGGCTCTTAATGGTCTTCTGTATGTTAACCTATTACTCTTCTTCCCTTTCTTCCCTTTTTATGTTCTTGGGTGCTCTTTCACGGAACAGCAGGAACCAACCAAAGGTAAGACGTTTTGATTGCACATTGTAGCTGATGTTGGGGGAAAAATATTCACACATTTATTTGGCTTTGGCTTTTGTATAAACAGTGGTGCCTTGCTAGATAGTTAGCCTGCATGACAGTTTTTTCGCTAGACATTGACTTTTTGCAATCGCTATACCGATTCGCAAAACAGTGATACCTATGGGGGAATTTCGCAAACCGATTTTCACTAGATGACGATTTGCTTTTCGCTAGACAATGATTCTGCTAGACAGCTATTTCAGTGGAACGCATTATCATCGTATAGCAAAGCACTGTACGTATTTACCTTTTTTTTCTCAGTGTGCTTGCAGCCACTGTCTAAGGAAAAGCTTTGGGGTTTTTTAGTTAACATTTTACCCTGGCAGCCAAGGCATGCATGAGTCACAGGAACAAATGAGGGAAATGTTTTGCACACATTGAGCCTGGAGGGATGTGGAAGAAAGATAGTGTTGTGTGTGTGTTTTTTTTTAAGAAAAACTTTACACATTCTTTTCTTGTGTGTACAGGTTTGACTTTCACTTAACTGCTTCCCAATGATTTGAACTCTCCTTGACATGTGTAAATCTTTCTCTAGTTTCCTCTAGTCTTTCACTATAGGTTTCTTTCTCTGCCTTCAAAGTTTTTCAAGTATGTAGTTGTAAAACTTAAGCCTTGAAGGCAGGAAAATGTCCTTGTGTGAAACAGGAAAAACAGTGGGATGTTTGCTTATGTAATCCTTGAGTACTGGTGAGGATTTTGAGGGCCAGGGGTTCTTAACTGAATAAGTTGATCAGTTTTCCCTTGGGTGCATCCAGGCAGCATGTAGATATATGCAGATAAACCTTTATTTTCTTACTTTCCAGTAGCACTTTTGCAGAGTTGCAGAAGTCTGCCGTCTTTGGGTTCCAACGTGCCCTGTGCTATCATCCGCTTTAGTTTCTGCAAACGGTGGACTGATGGAAGACAGTTAGAGAGCCACTAAAACATATATGTGAGCATGTGGCCTCAAAAGTTTCTTGGGGATGGCATCTTCCATCAGTCTTAGTTAGCATAATCACTGGTGAGGGTTGATGGGATTTGCAGTCTTTCACAGGCTGCATGTTTCCTGTCTCTGCCCTAAAGACTTGGTGTTCAACAGAGGTCAGGAGGAGTGTGTCCCAGGAAGTCAGTGTCTCAGTGGGGAGGACTCACATTGGTATCCTTTCTAGCCTCTCATCCTTCAAACTACGGTCTGTGTTGAAGATCAGCAGCTGGCAAGAGATTGTGCACATCCTGAGAATGATGGAAAGAAGGCAGATCGAGAGCCACTGATTGATCTCTTAGATCAGAGGTCCCCAACCTTGGGCCTCCAGATGTTCTTGGACTTCAACTCCCAGAAATCCTGCCCAGCAGAGGTGGTGGTGAAGGCTTCTGGGAGTTGTAGTCCAAGAACATCTGGAGGCCCAAGGATGGGGACCACGGTCTTAGATGGCCTATGAGAGATTATTAAGGATTTCTGTCCATGTAACAACGGCAGGAGAAAAATGACCCACCTGTCCAATAAAAGTGAAAAGAATATGGGTTGATGTAGCCAGGAGTGAATGGTAAGCTTCTGAAGTCCATTTGCTTCTCAGTCTCAAGGCAAATTCATGAGTTTAGAAGTTTTGATTGGTATGCTACTGATGGTCCCAACTAAGGGAGAAATCAATGGTTGTTCTGGAACATAACCAAACAGCCCCCCAAAAAACCACAACAACCATCGGATCCCGGCCCTGAAAGCCTTCGAGAACACATTAAGGGAAAACCCATTGAAACAATGGGATTGAAGAAGAGTTGGCATATTTTAACCAATTGATTCAATTCCTTCCGTTGGAACTACTAATTTTATTTAGGCCTTTAATTCTAAGTGTATTTCTTTTACACCAGGCTGTGGTTGGATGTATATTAAGGTTCTAGTAGATCTTTGGAAAGTTTACAACCACAAGGTTCTCCCCAGCCCCCTCCTAAAAGGTGCTGCAGAAAAATTGTGTGTTGACAGCGGGTTCTCTGAAATTGTTTTCAGCAATTTCCTGTGCATCTAATATTGGAATAGATGCTTCACTGTTTAGTTTTTAAATAGGAGTGTCTCTGATTTATTTCTGTGCAGGTCTTTGCCTACGACCATTGCTTCTGGTCTATGGATGAAGCTGTCAAAGAAAAATATGCAGGTAATACTGTAGTGTGAGGAGGAATTAAAGAACCTTGTAATGAAGGTGAAAGAGGAGAGTGCAAAAAACGCCCTGAAACTCAACATCAAAAAAACTAAGATCATGGCCACTGGTCCCATCACCTCCTGAGAAATAGAAGGGGAAGATATGGAGGCAGTGACAGATTTTACTTTCTTGGGCTCCATGATCACTGCAGATGGAGACAGCAGCCACGAAATTAAAAGACGCCTGCTTCTTGGGAGGAAAGCGATGACAAACCTCGATAGCATCTTAAAAAGCAGAGACATCACCTTGCCAACAAAAGTCCAAATAGTCAAAGCTATGGTTTTTCCTGTCGTGATGTATGGAAGTGAGAGCTGGACCATAAAGAAAGCAGACCGCCGAAGAATTCATGCCTTTGAATTGTGGTGCTGGAGGAGGCTCTTGAGAGTCCCCTGGACTGCAAGGAGAACAAACCTATCAATTCTAAAGGAAAGCAAGCCTGAGTGCTCACTGGAAGGACAGATCCTGAAGCTGAGGCTCCAGTACTTTGGCCATCTCATGAGAAGAGAAGACTCCTTGGAAAAGACCTTGATGTTAGGAAAGTGTGACGGCAAGAGGAGAAGGTGATGACAGAGGATGAGATGGCTGGACAGTGTCTGCGAAGCAACCAACATGAATTTGTCACAACTCTGGGAGGCAGTGGAAGATAGGAGGGCCTGGCATGCTCTGGTCCATGGGGTCACGAAGAGTCGGACACAACTAAAGGAACGAACGAATACCATAGGCTTGAGTGATTCATGGGGAAGGTAACAGGACTGAACTAGGGAAAGTTTTGCCTGCCGGGTTCAAGACAGCCTTGAGCAGTTTCAAAGTCACCCTCCCGGACTGAGGTTGGCTTTCTCACCATCATGACTTGACTTCCCTGCAAGGTCCTAAAGGAATAAACATAACACTTGCCACCAAAAACAGACAAATAAAAGCCCTCAGTGAATTTAGTTCCTTTTCTCTCACTGGTATTCCAGACCTTCGAAAAATTACTTACTGGATCGCAGTTCCCAGAATCTTTTTGAGTGAATGATGGAAGCGATAATCCTTTAAAAAAACTTTTGAAGGTTTGGGCAGTTCTGGCAGTTGTCTGAAAACATAAATAGACATGCTGTTATTTTATTTTCTTTTTTACTAAGGACAGCCTAGCAGGTCACCATTGTAAATATGTGGTTGGTGGGGAACTATGGAAGCACCTCCCGTTTCTTCTGGGTTAAACAGGAAACCGCTTGGACATGCTCCTCTGGCTCTCAGTAATATGTATTTCCCACCCTGTATCCTTCTGATGTTCCATGTCAGTGTTGACCTAAACCCAGCCTGTTAGAAAATCCCATCCACCTGATTTTAAAAAGGTCCAGATGAGTAGCTGTATTGATCTGTTGCCTCTTGCATCAAGAACAACTCAACGTCTTTTGAGACCTTCACAACTGGCAAGTTTTATTTGATATGAGCTTTGTAGAGCGCAGTGCACTCTTTCTGATGCATGGCATCTTGGAGAAGCTGTACGGTCTGTATACTGTGAGCTGGTCTGCTCCTCCTTGTATGCTTATGCCCAATAAAACTTGTTAATCCTTAAGGTCCCCCTGTGCTTTTGTGCTGATTTGAAGAGTGGTGCTAGAGGAACCAAACTTACCAACATGAACTTGACCCAACTCTGGGAGGCAGTGGGAGACAGGAGGGCCTGGCGTGCTCTGGTCCATTTGGTCACGAAGAGTCGGACACGACTTAACGACTAAACAACAACAACAAGCTAGAGGAACATGCAGTGTCCTGTCACACCTGAACTCCATGCATTCAACATGTGTACCTGGACAAAGCTTGGTTTCATGGTGTTGGGAAAAATAAAGTTCCGGTCGTTCTTAGCCTCTCCCTCTGTGATTCAATCCTAAACCTGTGGTTTATTTTTGTGTTAGTTGCCTGCTGCCTTTCGTCTCGTGAGGTTGAGACTTGGCTTTCTTTCCCATGTTATCCTCATAATGCTCGTGTGAGTTAAGTCCTGGTGAAACAAACTAAGTGTCATGACGCAGGTGCCAGTTAAGAGCCTGGATCATCCCAACTCAAGCCCAGCGTCCTCCACACTTAAGCAAGTAGGACAATCTCTGGAAGCCGGAGTCCCACGCACACCCACCCCTGGGCCTCGGAGGGCCAAACCCAGCCCTGCAACCATCATGTCCCCTTGCACCCAGTAGTGATGAAAGATTTTAAGCACTTTAGGAGTTTGGGAGGCCTGGGGATCCTGTTGTTGTTGTTTAATTGTTAAGTCGTGTCCAACTCTTTGTGACCCCACGGACCAGAGCACGCCGGGCCCTCCCGGAGTTGGGTCAAATTCATGTTGGTTGCTTCGGTGACCCTGTCCAACCATCTCGTCCTCTGTCGTCTTTTTCTCCTCTTGCCTTCACTCTTTCCCAACACCAGGATCTTTTCCAGGGAGTCTTCTCTTCTCATGAGATGGCCAAAGTATTGGAGCCTCCGCTTCAGGATCTGTCCTTCCAGTGACCACTCAGGATTGATTTCCTTCAGAACGGATAGAGCACACTGCACTCTACAAAGCTCATATCAAATAAAACTTGCCAGTTGTGAAGGTCTCAAAAGATGTTGAGTTGTCTTGATGTAAGAGGCAACAGTTCAATACAGCTACTCATCTGGACCTTTTTAAAATCAGGTGGTTGGGGATCCTAGGGTCTCTGAAACTGGCGAAATGGCCTCCCAGCACACAACAAGGGGATATTTTTGCTTTATGGGAAGGACTGAGTTGATACTCTCTAGAAGGAACTCAGAAGGATTTCCTGACAGTTGCTTCCTCCCAGTAAAAGTCTAGAGGTATGACTTCCTTTTGCTCAAAATGCATTCAACATGTGTACCTGGACAAAGCGTGGTTTCATGGTGTTGGGAAAAATACAGGTGGCCTCACCAAAGTTCCAAAGCTAAGGGCAGTGGAGGCTGATCCCTTTGGAGAAATGGGACACCACCCCACCTCAAGCTACCCAACCAGCCGCATGTTCTCCACCCCTATTGTAAGGCAAGGACCGCTCCGTGTTAAATAGAAGCAGACACTTCCGAGAGGGGTAAAACGAGATGATTGGGTCTATCAACCTCTTAAAGGCAGGCTGCGATGGGAGGTTTCCGTACATCATGCGGGCATCAGCCACGGAGAACTGGTGTGGTGTAGTAAATAGAGGGCATTGGATTTCGCCCAGGGGTTGTAGGTTTCACGTTTTGCTCAGTGGTGAAGCTCTCTGGGTGACTTTTGATCAAAAAATCAAAGGTGTTTTTTTTTTTGAGACCACAGCTCCCTGGAGCCTACAGGGCTGTGTGGTGGGCCCCCAAAAGGCACTTTCCAGACTCTACTTTGAGCTAACAACTATTTGTCCATCTCATCTACCTCACAGAGTTGTTGGAGTGTGAAGTTGACTACCCCGTAGTGTTTCTTTGGGGCTAATGAACCTTCCTTGGAGGAGGAGGAAAGGCAATCCATAAAGTCGTTCTCTTGGACTTTCAAAATGTCACGAAGGTCATGATTGGCCTTCCTCTCAGCCAGCGCTTTGGCCTACACAACTGTACGTGCTCTGCCTCTGCGATCCTGGACTGTGCTGAAGTGATCCGTGGGATCTTCATTCCGAAGCAGAAAACTCATAAGGGAGTTACCGGAAACTTGAGTGCAATCAAGACGAAGATCTGCCTGGTGGCTTCCATCCTTGAAGCCTTCATTTACTTTGGACCGACATGAAAGGCACTCATGTTTTTGTGGTGGTGTGCATTGTGAGCGTTTGAAGTTCTCGAGGGTCGTAATCTAAGGAGACTCCTTTCCCCCCACCTCCTGTCCTAACCATTTGAATCTTTTTGTTCTAATTTTAGGCCAAGATATTGTTTTCAAGTGCCTCGGAGAGAACATTCTCCAAAATGCCTTTGAAGGCTACAATGCTTGTATCTTTGCTTACGGGCAGACTGGTAAGCCACGTGCACAGGGAGAATTTGGAA